TATTAATGAAAAGTGGCAACCATCAGCGGCCCAATGTACAGTATATAGTTGTCATAGCCCAGTTAACTAACAATTTCTTTCAAACATTGAATTGGTCAGAAAGTTATAGGTAATTAGGTATATTCTTATGATAAGTCGTTATCACAAGCAAATATGCCAAAACTTTTCAGTTAATGGATATTCGATTCATCATGTGAATGGAATTTCTGGTCTGACTTCATTAGCCATAGAAACGCTTTTGGTGCAACTCTTTAGGAGTTTGCCAAGCTATTAAATTTTCTTGTCTGAGTTAGTAAATTCTTGTCTGTGATAGAGCAGTTGGAAAAATTGGTACGGATAAACGTACAAAACCCAAATTTGATTGATAAATCACCAGAAGCATATAAACATATCCACTTCATAATTATTATTATATTATTTCCGAATATATCTAAATTATATATCTCATAACTAACACACTATTAAAAATCTTTAGTACACAAGAATGGAGAAGAGACTAAACAATAACATTCTGCCGCTTGTGGACAACAACACGATGCACATTTCCAATTGTATGAAGGCAGCGGTACGCTCTCCGACCACCCGTCTATATTGTAGTACCCGGCTGCACATATTCCCGTATAATTGGTATTATCGTTGTATCCTGTCGGTTTATAACCCGCTAGAAGTGTCCCTTTTGAGATGACCTATCGTATATTCCAAGGACCTGTGAGGTATATTTATGGGAGTGCTACTTACCCAGTCTTCTTTAACACTATGTCCTCTGTTGAGTTTTCGTTTCCTGACAACTGTTTCGTTTATTTCAACGATTCTCACGATTCCCCCAGACGACTCATGTAAGCTTGTCATTTTCACTGCGTATATAACTCTACAATACTCATACCACTGAACAACCGAAGCTTCAGTAACATCTGAAAATGTTGCAGCCAGTGTTACTGGTGCTTTTATTATCTACTTTGTAACAATTATCATAATTTACCTTAGTCTCAATCTGCATCGAGCGAAAAAGTTCGTCTTCTGGCAGACTTATTCCTCCAACATATATTACATCGAAAGACAACATCATCACTGCAGTCTGCACAAGATCTACGATCACAAATAAAGGAACTTCTTAGTAGTCCAATTTGTTGTAGACGCTCAATTATAATGTCTTCTCTAAAATCCGCCGTGAACCGATCGTACGTGAGCATCAGGTACTGAAATTGGCGCCGTGACTTTGAAATCCCTCAAACGCTTCTGATTGACTCGTCCATAAATTATAGTCTCGACCGTTTGAGGTTACTTAGAAATGACCACTTACACCAGATCTAGCCTAAAACGTTCGAGTTTCAAGACGAAAACCTTACTGAGGTGGAATCCACTAGATCATATATCATCATTAATGAATGTCTCAGTCCTGACATAATCGATTCTATAAATCGCAGTTTACCACTAAAAAAATTTATCAATAAATTGGTCATTTGTGTAGAAAAACTTCGCACCAAAACACTTAATTATCAAGTTTACGAAGGTGGATCGTAGCTATCATCAGATTAATTCCACTTGAAGTCCTTGAAGAGCTACTGTCGGCTCAAAGCCTGGTTGAAAGATACTTGAGTGTAGGGTTCACAGTGCAAACTAGAAAGAAAAATCCAATACAGAAACAATCCATTAAGCACCGTCCTTGTAGCTAAAGAGTCTCCACATGGCGATAAATAAATCCAAACTGAATTTAGTAAGCATTGAATATTTAGACAAGTAAAACCAAAAATGCCTAAATCAGCGTTTATTCAAGACGCTAGCAAGATCCAAGAGTTGAAAATAGACCTCAGCAATTTGTTGCGAGCCTGACGTTGCAACGTGTGTGAGTATAGATTTTGATAGGCTGAATCTCGTCCAATTAGAGAGTTCAAAACTTTCTCCACCCCGTCGCCAATTGTTGTAACGTGTGGACTGCAGGTTAGATGAGCAGAGTTTTATTGATCGATTCAGTGACACGTAATGAACGACCTAGAGTACCGATTGGCCCTGCTCCGCTGTCTATCCCAGCCAGTTGAGTCCAGAACGCAAGTCACAGCCTCCGAGATATGAATCATTATATTTCAGACATACTCTACTTATATACCAATCAACCAGACCACATCGTACCATAAAATAGAAAACAACATTTGTACAATATTTAACAAGTAAGATAAATATCGACCAATAGGGAGTGTACATTTAAAGTCCAAGGCCACCATCAGACTTAACATGATAATTATTGGTATATTTTTCTGCACATCGTAACACCTTAAAAGATCATTTTCATCGAGGAAAGCGTTATGGAGAACAACAAGAAAAAAATTAAAAACAGTAGATTCAACATCCCAGATCTCAAGAAGCACCAGGATAAACAACGGATCTCTGCACACATTTTGGAGAAGATTAAGGAAATGTAGGTCAGCAAGGCAACAATCGAACAAGACCGGAGAAAGCCAAGGCATACAAGCGAACATGCGAGTGAAGAAAAACACCAAGTTGAAATATGTAAAAGACCTAGCGACTACAATAAAACAAACTGGAAGAGACATGTCAAGCAACCATATGATACAATCAAGAAGCTAGTAAGGAAATATAGTAGACCAGAGCAACCAGTCAGGAACAAACAAGAAAAATCAGTTACTGAGGTTAGAGAGAAGCAGATCAGACTCGTAGAGCACTTTGAAGAGTTCCTGAATAGACTAGTCCCGTTCAACCCATAACACAAAGGCCTCCCTACAAATGTACTGTGCCAGAAATAAAAAAACACCAATGCCATCAGACAAATCAAGAATGTCAAAGTAGAGGGACCAGAAAGCATAGCGGTGGAAGCACTGAAGTCAGGTATACAGGCAACTGCAACATATTCTCTTAAGGAAGCTCTGAACGGGAGGACAAGTTCAAGAGGGAAACCCTATCAAAACATTGAAGAAAGGAGATCTTAGTAAGTGACATCATACTACCGTCAGTTCCAGGCAAAGTTATCAACAGAGTGTTACTGGACCAAACGAAAGTTTCAGTAGACACCATACTCTCAAATCAATAAATCGGATTTCGTGAGGATATATCATGTACCGACCAAATTGCGGCACAGGACACCATTGCTGAGCAATCAGCCAAATGAAATTTATCGCCATACAACAACTACCATAATTGTGAAATAGCATGCGACAGTTCAAACTGGAAAGACTTGTGGAATCTTACTTGAAACTATAAGTGCCCGAGAACATCATCACCATCATACGGAGCTCCTATGACGGACCTTTATTACAAAGTCATGTATGGAGGCACCTCACAGATGAATTGCAAGTGAAGACTGATGTCAGGCAACACTTCCCACTTCCGCCTCTCCTCTTTCTTCAGGTTTTTGATTAGATTATGAAGACTTCCATAGCTTAAGAGAAGCACGCAATACAGTAGACACCTTAAGTGTTGCTGGATGATATGGATAACGTAGTCCTCCTTAAGGTTGAAAAGAGGCAAATCAAAGGAAACATGAAGGTGGAATTTGGAGGCAGATAAAAAGACCGTAAATACCTCTCGACAACAACATGGAAGGAGAGTCCAGAATAGAGTTGCTTGGAGATTCCTGGTTATTTACTTATGTCCCAAGAGGGGTAGAAGGCATAAGTAAGTAATCATCGGTTTGTTTACCCATTAAAATCCCATCAACAGCTTCAGTATAAAATTATTCCATTCACATTGAAATCAACGTACATTAAATACAATCCTAAAGAAGTATTCCTATAATTGCCAAGGTATTATTAATCATTGATCTACATCACTATGACGATTACCAGTTTATTTGTTTGAATAAATCAATCACGATAAATGAAGAGAAAAAACGATAAAAAACAACCCTTTACAGGTACGGTAGAAATTTATTTCTTTTTACAGGAAAGTCCTGGTTAAGACCAACAGTAACAACGATGATAACCGATAAAATGCCAGGAAAGTGATTTTACCCATCCAACTAATCTATTATTCCACAATGTAAAAAACACTGAAATCCTGAAAATTCAGAATTGGAACGGAAGGTTATGACAAACTGGATGAACACTTCTCTTTTAAAAAATACAGTTTTCTTTTACAAAAAAAGGAATAATGGAAGGAAGTAAACTACAGTATATTTTTCTCGTATCACATGCAAATAAACAAAATATACACAGATACGAAAAAACATGAGCTGCTTCTTTGTGTTTAACATTAAATAATGAATGGATTGTCAAAAAGGTGTAGAGATTGTAGAACATTGATTGATTAAAAGAGTAACAGCAATTATAATAATAGTAATAATGAGTACAGGTTGACATTCAGAAATGAAATAAGATAGATTGGTGAAGAAAAATAGCCAGATGGAAATGATACAACTGTCAACTATGACAGTAGCTACCGGAGAGAAGATAAAAATTATTAGTAATAGACTAGGCACTATATATATATATATATATATATATATATATATATATATATATATATATATATATATATATATATATATGAACATGCATTTCAACGACATTAGTGGAAGATAAAGTACACAAATATGTACACGTCCAGACGCATACACGAAGAGAAATGTAAATTTTACAATCATTAAAATCATCAATGATTTAAAAGGGATAGAATGTCAAGATAAACAGGAAGTATGGGTGAACGGGATGATAGTTTTAAAAGCGAACTACTATTTCGAAAACGAAGTAGAACGTAAAAGCAGGAAATGTGAAAGACCAAACAAAAATATACAGATATGGTTCTATTATTATAATGATGATATAAAACTGATAAATGTATGTATGATTATATAAAAACGAAAGAATATGGAATGTCATACACGGAATAACACTAGTGTGTATGATTGCATAAACTTTATTGTATAGAACGTTATATTAACATAGAATAATAATTTATGACGATGACAATAATTGTTTAAGTAACAATAACAATTTATCGTGTTATATATGAGATAATTGAATACGGAAAAGTAGAACAAGACAGTATATTTACACAAAATCATCCATTTCATTTAAAATGAACTCCATAGCTGTACAACGAAATTCTGCAGTTTGCCAACATTCTAATAGTTTTTTACATTCGGCATTAATCACATATTCAATACGTTCACGATGTTGCATTTTCATCATACATTTAGTGATTTCCAATGACTAAAATTTGATAAGGAGATAAAATCGACCACTTCAATTTTTACATAAAGAAATCACTATTAAATTAAGTTTATAATAAGATTAAGGTGAACACAAAACATTTTTAACAGTTCTTAGCAAAACAAAAACTAGATGTTTAATCTCAATGGTGAATGAGTCATCAATAAAGCTCATTTCCTCCATTTGTTTAAATTTCATATGATATCTGATCATATTTACTTTCTGTCTCATATTTCTCACATAAATTTATTCTTTTTTTACTGTAGCTTCTTCTGTTGTTTATTGAAATAATTTTACCGGAGAGCTTCGAAAACGGAAATCTAATTTCGTGAGCAATAATTAGTCCACTACATTATCCTAGTGTTTCATGAAGTTCTTTTAACAATCCAAATTATATCTCATAAAACCTTGTTTGGGAAATTTCACAAAAAATGTTTCACTGATAGCATACACAATCATGTGAAAGTGTAGTACGATGATTTCAACTAATTATCACTAAACTTCTAGAAATTACTAGATCATGAATTCATCCATTTTTCGTTCACAGTGCAAAAAAACACAAAACATTTGATAGCCTCTTCAGAAAATGAGAAAAAAACACAATAAATACTAGAATTAAAACACTAAAAGATCGTAGCTACGAGCATTGTCCTTTCACCGTTCAAATATAGAAATCGGAAAATTGTAAGACAAAGATCAAACAAAAATACAATCAAACTTAGTTACCTCATATATATATATATATATATATATATATATATATATATATATATATATATTACTATTTATTAAAAGCAAAAAAAACTATCCTTTGTTTTGCCAAGCCATGTTATAAACTGCTTTTTCTTGATATGTTTTATCACGCCTAAACATGTACAACAGACGTTAGGGGTATAGAAGCCGCTAACGTGTTTCGAGGTGATATGTTGTTACTGAAAATCGGCTTATGAATGCTTCTTCACTTGCATGTTTTCAAAATCAATCAATGGTTAGATCATGAAATCGCAAGGAGATAAATTCAACACTTTTATAGGGTCATGTACTAACAGCCTATGGATGTCTAGATCTTTTGGTAGACTGGTACCTCTAATTAAACCTAACATAGCTTGATAGTTGGTTGCAACAGTAGATGAAGATAATTTATTCACGATATTTCTGTTAAGATAATGAATATCGACCATTTAAAAGTAAGAAAACATGCGCACATATCAAAGTGCAATCACAACTTATGCGTATACTTTATTTGGAGAACCTGAACAAATACTACATATCGGTGATTGACTGTAATATCAAATACATGAGCGCAGATTTGAATTCCAGGTGGACTTCATAAACCACACCAGTGATAACGGACCTGTAAGTTAATGCTAGTCAAAAATAGATTGCGATCTGCAGTGCAACATGGTCGATAGCATTCGATCTGCACTAATAAGGACTTGACACACATGACATTGATTATCACCCAGTGAACAATCAATTGTGATAACATCTCAATCCTACAGGAGGTCGGTCGCGGCCCGAAAAGCTCAGTGGTAACGTCTCTGACTGTGAAGCTGGGTGACACGGGATCGAACCCATCAGGGAGCACCAGTCCCCTCAAGATTACAGGTACACCTTGCTGACGAGTGCCAAGTAGCACGAAAACCGGGTCCAGGGTTTCCTGTCGACTACCTCTAACCACCATCTAACTCCGAATGGAAGCCTATTTTAAACGTCCGTATCTGTATGTCAAGAACAGAAATTCTGAACAGACAATCTTAACTAAACCTTATTGTTGTGTAATTTGGATCAAGGTACAAAGGATCAAGGCAGGAGGTTTGAATGTCAAGAGTAATCTTACAATACATAGATTACGTTGTATTGAGAATCGGCTTTCTTCAAACAATTATTTGGTATACCAAGGCTATTTAAACAGGTCAGAACAACAAATAGAAATACGTGTCTAAATAAGACAGGAATCAGAAGTGAATGTAAGAGAACTGTGAGGTACGTTGAAATAAGACGGATACGAGAGTTTTTTGCGAATATAACAATTAGTTTGCTTGTTTCCCAAAGAGGTTATTCATATTTTTTATTTTGGAGTAGACGTAAGGGTCGTGAAATTGACATCTTTCCCGAAATTCAAGAGTTTCTGGAGGATTACTACTTCCAAGACTTTAGAGACAACAAATCTAAAACTGAGAAAACAAACAGCCTAGAACGAACATAACGATTAGCATGTCGTAATGGCTGAAAATTAGGAGTAAAACGAAATAAGATGCATTACTGGCAACACTGTAAGTCATTACGATAATACTTACAGATTAAAAGCAAAATCAGAATGGGGATTTGTGGTGATCGTAGTAATTTTAATAGTGGAATTTATGAATCGATCTAAGTTTAGTAGTCTTAGATCCCGCACGCGGAATCGTGGATGCGCTCTCCTGAGGAATCCGATACTAGGATAAAATGGCCGTTCAGTGCTTTTAGGTTTTCAATGGAGGTCTAGCTTAGATCGACTCATAAATTCAACTAATAAAATCAAAAAGACTGAAAGTCTGTAATCCATATTTCGTAATGAATAGTTTTGGTTAATATTAACTAACTAATTACGAACGGATAGTATTAAAAGTGAGAACTCTACATTGCTTGATAATTCCACAACATTCTACACATACTCATTTGCTTTCCAGATTTTCCACTGTCGCTTTTTTAACGAAAGTTAAAAACATATTAAAGCAGTATGAGATGTAACACGTCACTAACCATGGTCCAATCAAAAGAACTATCGAGACGTCAGACTGAGAGTTATGTTTTCGTAAAAAAGACATTTAAACGAGAACCATTAAACTTTATAGTTAAGAATTACTGTGCGTTTATAGCTTGATATTCTAGTCAGCAATCGTCTTCTCAAAATTTTCTCTTATTATGTATACGAGAAACCAGTAAGTCTCCGCTATATATCTATTTACCATCGGAAAACACTATAACGTGTTTACGAAATCCCATGAGATGAAATATGAGAACAAATGATAAACATTCAAATAAAGACTATATTAGGTTGCTGAAGTGATATGTAAAAAAGTGGGAAAATAAATCCATAACATCATTTTTAAGGTAGTAAATATTTAAACACCTAGAAATCAAGGAATAGATAAATGAAAAATAATAACAAGTACAAAGATACCTACCATACACGAATTTTCTGCTAATTTTCGACAACGGAGAAGTAGTTCTTGTTTAAAACTTTTGGGAACAAAAGATCAGAAGCTAAACCTCGTTGTAAAGCTTCACGTGCGGACAATTTACGACCTGCTAATAATAGTTCGTTTGCCTGTACAATAATTTTTATGAAGAGAAATATTCGATATGAATAAACGAATGTTTTTTAATAAAAACAACTTCGGAAATCGAACCGGAAAAAATAAAATCAATTACCACGGAATTAAAGCAAAATAAATGTTGAAAATGTTATTATTTCGTAGACTGTCTGAATTTTAATTATATTATGGATTGATGATTAAAACAGTTAACTTCTAATAAGTGAGTTATAGATTAAGACCTGCTTTGCTTACTTCAACTTAGGGAGTCGGTCGACAACCATAACAACAGAAACAAGACTCAAACACTGGTACAATGAGTTAGTTTATAAAATTTATTTTGTTCTGAACAAACGAATATCAAACACTGAGATTCATTTTGGTTCAAAAATTCGTCATATAACAGTTCATATGAAGATCAATGAATATATATATATATATATATGGACTTGGCGAATTGCATTAACAGTTCGTTCTTTTATCACTAACTAAAACAGAACATTTCTTACAGACTCTCAGTTCTGATAGACAATGATTTTGTCGCTGCCTGATGCAAATAGTAACAACATACTGTAAATTCGCGATTACTTTGTCAGTTTATTTTTCATTGCATTCCAATAAGTTATTTCATATATCTTATATTAAGGTAACGAATAATAAGATCAAAATTTGATACATATGAAAGATAAATATTTCATACAACTTACCAAAGGCATACCAACAAGACTGTTTAAAGTGTAAGTTGATGCTCCTTCAGGAATCTGACCAAGTCGAGTATATGGCATATAAAATGTAGCTGAGTCACTTATGTAAACAATGTCACACAAAGGTAATATAGCAACAGCCAGTCCTAATGCTGGACCATTTACACCAACTACAACAGGTTTAGGAAATGAAACTAATGCCAATAAAAATGACCTTAAAGCTGCCGCTAGACGTCCGACATTTGAAGCATTTGGTGAGCAGAAAAACGACTGAACTCTATTTGCATTTCTGTGAGATGATGAATTTAAATTTGAGTCATAGTTAGTTTGAGAAAATGAACAATTTGTATTATCAGAATGATGTGATTTTGAATTATCAGCTCCAATTTTATGATTATTTGAATTACGTGAAGCGAATACATTGGCTGAACTTGAGGATGAACTGCGAGATGAATCACATGAAGATGGACCAATAAATGCACTTCTTAAAAGATCGCCCGTAATTGTTGTCAAGTCTATTCCCGAGCTAAACACAGTTCCTGTCCCAGAAATCATGATTAAACGACTTGTATCATGTGTTGCTCGGTTCAAAACAATGGTTAATTCTTCAAGGACCTTCACAATTTCAAATACATGAGAAAAGTACAAAATTTCCAAAATACAAATAAAATTAAATACTGAAGAGAAATTAACACTGATATTATCAATATGATGATAAAATTTAGGTCAAAAGACGAGTTTAAACCATCTTTTTTACGATATAGATCCAACGAGTTCCAACGAAAGACTATAAAACACGTGCTTGGTCTCTATCTTCGTAAAATAACTGAAACTTTCATTTATTGATCATTTGAGGGAGAATTAAGCAACTGTTTGTAACCTAATCGAACTGTCTTGCATCGATTTTAATCAGAAAGAGATACAAGTGATAAATGATGTCTTAATGGTCAGTAGATTATTGATATAATAATTTAGCATGTAGTGACAGTGATTAATAGAACGATAAATATTTTGTTATACTAAACAATACATTACTCTTACCTTGACTGCAATCACGTTTTAAAATTTTTTTCTGAATAACGAGTTCGTTTTTATGCATCTTCTTATAACTGATACAAATCAGTAATTTATTAGTCAGAGACAATCATTTTTGGACAATTAACGCTGAGTCTGTAGTATTTATTTATTGCCATTAAGTTATAAACGACAGAATTCTCAACACAAATGACAGAAATGTAATATCACAGAGCTTTGCTCAGCTAGAAACTTCTTAAAAAGACGGTTGATAAGGAGAAAAACTCTCACTAAAAATGAAATGAACCTGAGCGACAATCTAGCTGGACGTGATATGAATACCATGAAATGTTACATAATGAATAATACTTTTCCAATTGACAAATCTGAAAACAGCAAAGGAAACAAACGTAGCAGAATTGTATTAATCCATTTTATTTCATTGTTTCTCATCAGTTGCTTACAACCTAAACAGAAGTGTTAATCTTTAAAAATCAGTGTACATACTTTGCTTCACAGTATCAAAAATGTTCTTATTGATAGAGATTGATAAAGGAGCAATCGATATAGAAGAATTATAAAAGATTTTCAAACGGATGGATACTTATGTTAGTGTGAAAATTCTCGATTTCCTACTGAGACCACGAATTGACCTAAATTAGACAACCGTTGGAATCCTGGAGGCAATGAACGGTCGTTTGGTCGTAAAGTGAGACTCATCAGTAGTGTACATCCACCACTTCGCAACCGTGAATCCAACCCAAGACCTCTGGTATCGTACGCAGATACTAAAACTTCAGACCACTGAACCGGATCCAATAATGTACATGTTCAAGTTCTATCAATCTGCGATCTTTTATAAAGTACACGAAGATAGGTTAATAGAAGAGTTTACATAAAAAGCTACGTAGTGACAACACAAAGGATTGACTATAATATTTTGGTTAATAAAACTTAATGAAGTTTGAAAAAAATCAAACTATAATTGTTAAAAAAAAGCCTTACGAAACTAGACATTGAAAATGGGTCACCAGAACAAAATAAAGTTGACAACAGTATGTTTTTGAATCCACAATTGTGGTTTAAACCCTTCGATAGCAATGGTTAAGACAAAACGTAGTATATTCAAAGTCCCTTGTTTACCAATAATTGTGAACGATTTTGGAACCTCAACGTCATATTCACTATCAACTAACTGACGGGTGATTGAACCGTTAAAGACATACTAACCTCCTATACTAAACTTCTGAAGAATGAACTAAGAAATGAGGATATCAACACTCATTTTCGTTTTTCCAATGTATGTGCTTTGACACGTACATGTAAACCAGTATACATGACTACTTGCCTTATTTATACATCTACCGATCAAATGTCGTGTTTACTGCGCAACAGTTCGTTCCGTCCTACTTTATGGCAGTGAAGCATGGCCGGGGTAAGAGTAAAGGATATTCGTAGGTTACTAGTATTCGATCATAGATGTCTTTGAAACATTGCTCGTATATCCTGGGACCATCGAGTAAATAACTCAGTTGTTAGGAAACGGGTACTAGGTAAGGACGGAAAATCAATTGATGAAGTAGTGAAACTTCATCAGTTGAGATGGCTGGGACACGTGTTACGTATGCCCAATCACCGACTGCCTCGACGCGCGATGTTCTATCTGATGTTTGTGCTGATGACGTCGTTCAGAAGAACGATGAAAGCTCTACGACCAAACCATCCAGCTCAGAGAACAAAACTCCACCAAAAAAGATGTTCAATAGTGTAGGAGTAGGTTGGAAGAATGTTAGGGGCGGCCAGACCACAATATGGCATAAATCCATGAAGTCACTGATAAGTGGATTGAGCTATGTTGGTAGGTGTAGACTACCTGGTTGGGGACCGCGAGATGATAGCAACCGATGGTTAGAGACCCTGAATGACATGGCTCAAAATTGTCTGCAATGGAGCAGATTCATCCACTCTTTATGTTCTCTCAAATTCGAATCTTCTGAAACATTCATGTCCCTTCTTTTTCTCTTTCCAAATTTATTTCACTGTATTATACTTCATGAACAACATCTTCAAGCCCTAATCTTTCCGATTACTGCTTATACTTTTACTACCTCTACCACTATGGGATTTGAATCGACCACTGCATCTCTGTGCTAATGTGGTATGGCAACTCGAACTGATGTACGTACGTGCGAAGTTCTGCGTTGCTACTGACTGACTGACTGAAGTTTTTTTGATGCAGCTGTTACTCTAGAACCAATCTTGCTAGATATTTCGTCTCTTTTGAAGCCAAGTTGTATGAAGAAAGTTATTTTCTCCACTGTAGCACACTATTACTTTTGTTTTTATCTTCGCATTTTTACTGTAAAATATTTGTGGATTATCATTATTCTTAAGACTTCATTTAAAAAAAGTAGATTCCTTTCCAATCTTGAACTCAGAACACAATTTTCGTACTCGATTAAATAAAATTCTAACCTAAGCTGGTTTGTCAATTATCGGAAAGAAGCTATTTGAATTTAAATAAAGTCCCCTTAGATATCCTTTCGACGAACCTACCATTTCCATTGTTGAATACTAAGGTCTAAAAATGAAATCACTACGCTCATGCTCCATTGTAAAATGTATATTCGAGTGTGCATTATATTAAAGAGATTCAGCATACTGACAGGATATTTGCGACTAGTGAAAGCAACAAATGTGTCATCAACACACATAACTGCTTCATTACGTATTGTTTTCACCTTCGTTTTAATTTGGACAAATATATATATATATATATATATATATATATATATATATATATATATATATACTGTCTACATCGGGTCTAACGGGCTCCCCATAGCAATATACAGTATTATTACATTAAAATTGTATATCCTCAATACACATTGGTAGAAGCTATTTGAGTGAGTTTGCAACCACTGAATTTAAAGCAATTAATTTCTTTGATAAATTTCGATAATGTAATAATAATAAGACTATTAGAATTATGTGATATATTAGCGCAATACATTCTGAACAATCTGACCACACATATACTTCTTAAGAACATTTATATATAAAATTAAAAGGTCAACTAGAGTGAAAATGGGGGTAAGAGGAGACAAGGATAGTAATAAGAGTAATAATAATGTGAACACAATTTGAAACGTAATCACTCTGGATAATAAGCCAATATTATCAACATTTCCAGTCTAGTTGACCTTTATTTTTATATGTATAAATGTTCCTAACAAGTATATGCGTGATCAGATTGTTCGGAATATATCACATAGTACTGATAATCTTCGTCTTCTTACAACTACTGCATTCTCGAGGTGGTGTTAATTACGGACACAGTAGGAAAAGCAAATTCTCTGAGCTATAACCTGGTTAGTGGATATGGAAAATCCACAAAAGGGAGTTGAAAAACCCCGACTTCAAACTAATGGTGTATATGCGCTCCAAAATCCTGAGGGAACGAATGTCATATAAACCCATCCTCGGTCACAGCTACCATGGGATTTTTTGCCTGACGTTCTCCTAGTGCCTTTTGGCTCGAGAAGTGGGTCTCTAAGAAAAATAACTGCTTTGATCTGGGAACCTAGACAGTATCCCAGCCTTATTATAAATATAGCAATGAAGAATTGTAAAAAAATTTATTCGCTAGCTGCGATTGACTACTAACTCAAAAGAAAATTATTACCCACTTAGTTCAAGTGTTTCTAGTTTACCTTACTCCATTTTTCTATCCTTTATTCGATCCCACTCTGTATTTACTTGTATTTTATTGCTTATAAAGCACCTTATCAGTAGCGGGAATTCTGTAGTGTCTCGACGAATCCAAGTTACTGATTAGTATAAAGTTTGAACGCAAATTGAATAACAAATAGGTTCATCTGTGTCTTTGGAAAATCTCATTATTGACATCTACTGTATGTGTGAGATCCGTATTCAAGACTAGTGAAGCACTGCGAATTCACTCTACATCCACTGATTTGAAAAGCTTATTTAAGGCTGTTTGGTGATCACCAGATGGAACCTTTGATTATACAATTTCGATTTCATTTGATGGGTTATGTTGATAAGGCCAAGATAATAACCACCATTGATTATCATCATCTACTGATTTTACTTCAGACAACTGACCTTCGGAAACGAATTTGTTGTTGCTTCACTGGAATATTTCGAGGGTTTTTCGGAGATGGAAAACAAAGATGACACAGAGTCTTTGAGTAAGGGGGACTTGAGACAAGCTATTCGAATTAAAACGAGAGTGAATTTTTAGTGCTTCACCAGTCTTGTATACGGATCTCATACATACAGCAAACGCCAATAATCAGATTTTCCAAAGACATAGATGAACCCTACCCCCAAATGCCCTGGTATGGCCGAGAGCGGGGTGGGCCCGTCGTCTCTCTCGAAATACTCTCACACGGCCACGCGTATACAGCCTCTGCCAGGGAAGTCCTACTCACTGCCTTCTCGCACCACGGGTGTTGTTTACGAAAATGAGAGGACGAAAAGCGAATGTCCGGCGCTTTAACCGGATCCAAAACCAATGGTGCACATGGGCTCCAGTATCCTGAGGGAACAAATGGCGTATGAACCAATCATTG